TATATATATATATATATATATATAATAAAACAACAACAACAACAACAAAAAAACTGCAACCTTATTCAGCACAGTTCTTGAGACTAAGAGCTAAGACTAATGCAATCTAGTTATAGATGTAATAATTAAGATTTAAGATATAATACTTTCTGTAGCTACCAAGTTGTTTTGTTTTTTATTTTTTGTCAGAAATGACCTCACTCTTTTCAGTAAAGCAGATTTAATATGACAGCTGATTCTAAATGAAAATTACAGTTGGTTATAAATATGGTTAACATTGAGAATTATACATTTTGATAAAAAAAAATCAACAAGGGATGTTTTTATATGAATTTTATTAGACAATAATTCAGGGTGTTATTGATTTTTTTTGGCCATAAAAAACAGTATTACAAAATATAAATAAAAATGGTTATTGTTTTTGTTGGCATAAAACCACTCAGTACATATCTATGTCTTGAAATACACAAACTTTAGACTATTATGGCAGTAAGTTTAAAGTAGTGTTATTACAAAAAAGGAAAGATTTAATTTATTTATCATTAACTGAGAAACACTTGTTAAATGCACTCGTGGGAAGCTTAAATTCCAGTTGCAAGTGAAAACGAATTGGACTCCAGTTCAATTATGGAATATGAAGTAGTTAACTGGTCTGTACATTAAGATTTACATGAAATTTGATATGAGGAGAGATGATGGCTGTACTGCTTGACACATTGTGTTTAAAAAAATCTTGATGTACAAATTGAGTTTATTTATTGGAATGCTTAGGAAGGAAAGTTAGTGGTTTGTTTGGAGATGAGTGGTTCTGGATAAATGCAGAGATGCAGAGAGACCAAATCTCAGTGGCAGATGCAGTTGAAGCCCACGGCTCATAGTAAAAGGCAGGAGCATTTGGACAGCTTCTCGTGGCTCAGCAGACCATGCTGGGTTGAGGCCAAATTCTGGATCAGGCTCCAGAAGTGTTTGAAGCTGATGCCTTCCCCATCTTTCACACCCATTTGCTTCAGCACTTCTCCAAAATTATCCGACTAGAGAAAAGAGAGAGAGAGAGAGAGAGAAAAAACTGGTGTTCATGTATTCTGTATCAACATATAACCCATTTCACAAAGATTTTTGTTGCCCTAACCCTTTGTCGCCCTCATGTGGTTGGTCTCTATGGCTTCATAATAAATATATTTAGGAGTCTTTTTATTTTTTAGGGAATGATTTTTAACTGCTTAAACAGTTACTGTGCAAATTCAAATACAGTGAATACAAATGACAACATATTCAAACTTTCAGTTGGAATCTTTAAATATAATCAAATTATTAAACTTGGCAACACTTGCTAAGATACTTTTTCTCTAAATCTATACAGTCTGTACAGATTTTCACTCTTCTGTTACAACATGAACTGTGAGCAGAATTACATCAGCACTGAAGTACGGGATAACTGAAGTGTTGTTCAAATGTGACAGTACCATATATCTCAGAGCATTAGACCTTCATTCAACTAAAAGAAACACAAAATCTACTATGTCAGAGGTTCTCCCTCAAGCTGTAGAAGGCCTGCCATAACATGATCTGATACCGACTGTAACTGAAGAGCAGTGTCAGTCTGACTGCAGGAGAAATTATTCATCTTTCAGATCAACGGCAGCCACCATTTCGCTCCTTCAATGGAGCCACACCTAGTGTGCTTCGCTGGCTCAACCTGAGTTCAAACTGCTCTGTGTAATCTGACCACGCCTCTATGCAAGGCAACAAACTCTGGGAAACATTCTCTGTGAACCCAACCAGTCCCTCAGACTGAAAAAAAGTTCAATTATGGTTTAAAAAAATAATGGCAGTTGTGGTAGTGACAACATTACAGGCAATAGAGGATGATATAAATTTGACACCAAATAGAGTTCCTGTTTGTAAATGACATAAAACCTATTCATGCTACTGAAATGAGTTAAATGCACAGATGCTAATAATTAAAACCTGCATGCTGGCTTTAAAGTTCAACACAACTGGTCTTTCCAGCACATGGGGCCAGTAATAACAAAGACAGTGCACTGTGTTTCCTACACAAAGACAAAACACCACCAGAGTAACACACAGGCCTTAAAACAATGCACAAATATTTATAGGCCTAATATCATTGTTGCCATAAGGTAATCACTTAACTGGTTTCGCTGTAGCATTTTCACATTATCTCCCACTGAAATTATTAACAGGTGTTACGCTTTAACTATAATAAAGCTTAGTGCAATCACAGGAAATGAGTAATAACAGTTTTGAGTCATTGGTATCGGTTGGAATGAATAGCAACACGGTTTTACCTTGATTAAAGTTGGCAGCTCGGAGGAGAGGAGGCTCTTGAACTCATCTACCTTCAGCGTAGGCCGATTATCAGAAGAAGCAGAATGGAAGTTTGTGACCAAGGTGTTAATGGCCTTCTCAAGGTCAGAATACTGCAGAAGTAAGAGAGTACAGACAGACAGATACTTACATAGAAGAATAATATAGGTGGGGGTTTTACTTCAATAGTAAACATGTTTTAGTTCAAACCAAAAGGGTTTCATAGATTGATGTCATAGGAGAACCTGTGTAAGTTCCACAAAGAACTTTTTATTCTTTAGTTCTTTAGAAAACCACTCATGTATTGAAACTTTAAAGAGCCTAGAAACAAATACACTCTTAAAAATAAAGGTGCTTCACGATGCCATAGAAGAACCTTTTTGTCTAAATGGTTCCATAAAGAACCTTCAACATCTGAAGAACCTTTCTGTTTCACAAAAGGTTCTTTGGGGCGAAAGAAGGTTCTTCAGATTATAAAAAGGTAAGAAAGAGATGGTTCTTTAAAGAACCTTTGACTGAATGGTTCTTTGTGGAACCTAAAATGGTTCTTCTATGGCATCGCTTGAAGAACCTTTTGAAGCACCTTTATTTTTAAGAGTGTACACGGATCTGGAGAGCTTATAATGATCTTTTTTGCTCAACTATCATAATTAAGTTGGAAAATGCAATGCACGGAACAGAAAAATGCTATGACGATATGTACATATTTCAGTATTTGGAAATGATTACATCAGTTTTGGACTGTTGATATCTGTTCTTCTTGGCTTCTATAATCATGTGCACCTGTTTTAATACTGATCAATCACCACTAAAAGATCTAAAAGCTTGTGCTTTTCCTTCTTCTCTCGGAGACTATCAGAGCACTATCAAAGGACTATGTAAACTGTGTCTATTCAAACCGTGTTGCACTCAGACAATTATCCAGTACAGGTCCTGAAATACCTGCATGTCAGGCCATGAAAGCCCATCCTCAATGCATTATTTACTTTAGCCATGCATTTATGATGGAAACCATTTCCCTGTTTTGTTAAGACAAAAGGTTAGGCCTGAAATACATTTACTGTATGGTGTTGAAATGCATAAAAACGTGTTGGCTAGGATAGTAAAAAGTTTTAATATGTAACCCCAATTGCAATCTTGACCATTCAAAAACGTTCTACACACTTTCTCCCTCTTTCTTTAAGTCCACATAGTCAGTCTTCGTCTTGAGGCTTATTCCAGAGAGCAACAACGCAAAGACTCTGATTGATTCCCCGTGCTTTCCATTTCTAGACAATGGCTGTATGTCAAAACCTAGCGAGCTGCCTGCTTAGACAGCATTTTTGGGTCTCATAGGCGCGATGGGGCTGGTTAGGGCAGGGACGCGGCCAGCTCACTGGGTTTTGACACACAGCCATTGTATCCTTTGCACAGATAGAATTGCGAACGTTTCATTACTGCGAAGCTCTCGACTCATATGGCTTGAATTATCTCGACACTGGCCATATTGCTAACTCTTTCTTTGTTAGGGAACATTAACAAGAGGACGCGTTCCTGCGTTCAAAAGCGGGGAGACTGTGAAAGAACGCAGATTCATTTTTGAGAGTTGAATTTCAGTTTACTATAAAACCCGGTGATTATGGTGCAAGACATGAAAAACAGCCAGACACGACACAACGGCCAAAGACATCCATCAAACGCGCGTCCGCGTAAAAAACACGCAGAAGATAGCCGAGACGCGTCAGTGGCAGTTGCAGTTTATCGATTGCTCGTAAAAAAGAAAAGAAAAACAGAAGTAAAAACCTTTAAAAATTAATAAAAAAAAACTTTAAGAGAAACTAGTTCCTTTGACAACAACAAACTACACCGTTTCGGTCAAGTGCGAACTGGCCTGAAACCGTCGAAGCGCAGCTTATGTAAAACACTCATAAACCCATAACCGCGTAAAACCCTATTTAAATGTAAACGAGCAATCACACACACACACACACAAACACACACACACACACACACACACACACACACACACACATA